TTAAGTAAATAATCTCAGTAGTAAATGGGTACTTAAACTTAAGTAAAGACTCTCAGTAGTAAATGGGTACTTAAACTTAAGTAAATAATCTCAGTAGTAAATGGGTACTTAAACTTAAGTAAAGACTCTCAGTAGTAAATGGGTACTTAAACTTAAGTAAATACTTTCAGTATAAAATGGATACTTAAACTTAAGTAAAGACTCTCAGTAGTAAATGGATACTTCTCCAGAGTTAATTTCACTCAATTCTGCTGGTAAATTCTGTTCAGAGAGCATTAGGAATTGACTAAGGGAAAATTACCATAATTCAAAGAGGATTAGTGAAAGATTACCGTGTTCCTTTCCATAATCTGACATTTCATTCCTGGCTTCTTAGTGGAGAAAGAAAAAAACCTTTTCAGTGCTTCGATTAATTGCGTTGGATATAATGCGTCAGGAATGTAATGTAAACAAAGTTTAATCTCATATTTATAAATAAGACCGATGACGATCACCGTTGCTTTAAAGCCTTGTTAATTGATTGCTTGGTATATTTATTCATATATCATTTCTCTGTGTTTAGGATTTACTTAATAACTAATTGAACATTTTTACAGCGACGTGAAATAAAAGGTTCTTTATATCATTGAAAGTTTTTGATAAAAGTTAACTTCTATTTCTCTGATTTTTCGCACACCAAACCAGTAGTAACATTGGCAACCATTCACTCCCCATCATATGATTGTAGCGTATTTGTTTAACATTAGGGTGATTCATCATATATCGTCATACATGACTTGTGACGTTACTTGGTCTGTCTGTCCGTTATATGAAGTTGGTTTATTAAAGTAAAATCATTTTAAGTGGTTCCGTTTTACTGTATGATAATTATGTAGAAACTGAACGGGTTTATATGTAATTTGTATTATTATGTATTGTTTTATTAACGTGTTTTTTACGTAATGCTGTCCACAGGTGCCAGCACAGAAAGTGTGGATCTGCTCCCCACGCCTGAGCTTGGAGCCTCGTGGACGAGGAATGTCCCCATGGACGATGGTCACGAGAGCGACCAGATTTACCAGTTTGATGGCGCCACTAGCGTTGTGGTCCCCGAGACGGTGTTAAACCACAACTTGACGAACAACTTTACCGTGGCCTTCTGGATGAAGCACGAGCGATACCCTGAGCCCAACCACACATCTCACCACATGAAAGAGCACATCATCTGTAACGCTGACGATCATGGTAAATTATATCATGCGATAAAACAGTGTTTATCATTTACAAAGTGTACAGTAGGAAATGAACAAAGAAAGAGGTATTCAAAGGTGCAGACTAAGGGTTAGATAATACAGAGACAAGGTGGAGAGGAAAATAAGGGAGAAAATTGATTTAAGAAGACAGAACAAAAAACGGAAGACGGAGATGGTAATATATTAATGGGAGAAGGAGGTAGGAAAGTTAGTGAAAGAAGAGGAATGGTTTTGTGAATAAAATATCTATGAAAATAATACGCTTTTGTTTGTCTGTCCGGAACTTTTCATGCAAGTTTCGTGATCAAAGGCTACAAACCTCATCGTGAGAAAGGCCTTTGTCATTGGAGTCCGAATTGCATATTGGCTTTTCCATTCAGAATCACCTTACGTATTTTATGCTTAGTCAAATATTTTAATGCAACGAGTATGCTACACGATGTCGTTGTCATCACGACTGGCTTCGATTTCAACTTTAGTTGTTTTTATATGCAAAGTATTTCACACAAACAACACCTAATACGCGTGTAATTTGCTAATAAAATTAACATTACATCAAATACAATTCCTAGGGGCTTTCTCTAAAATACGCATACGCGTTTCATTCAGAACCATATGCTTATTAATTTGTGAACACACATTGAGACGTTTCTGCATAATCAGCTAAGTTAGCCTTCATTACAACTTTACATTTACTTTACTTTGCAATAATTTAGCATCGGTTCGTTTCTAGACTGCTATAAACACCTTTTAGCTACATTTTTCTTTACTACGGGATTTATTGTTCGAGATTGTAGAGTTTCTTTGTTTCAAATTTTAAAATTGTGTCATACACTAAACGCTCATAACTGTTTCATCCTCTGTACACTATTATAAATATCTTTATGATAGTTTACTGTTTACTTTGCGTGTTGTTTTATTAAATAAAGTTATGTACGTGTAGTTTTATCAATTAAAGTTACGTCTACATGAGTTTGTTTGTCTGACTGCGTAAATGTTTTTGAAATAGACCAGAATTTATCGATCTAACACATAGTGCCTGCAAGAAAGCATAGCTTAAGTGCCTAGAATAAGGAAAATTCAAGCGAAGGGCATGAAAACTACCGCAAATGTTTTTTTCGGGTCACAGTTAGTGAGTATATGTATATTATTAATATAAAATTGAAGAATGATGAAATGAAACTGATGGATGGAAGATGGAAATAGAGTAGTTATGGGGTTGGGATAACTTGCTAAGTGATGATGCACATAATAGTGGATTAATGAAGAATAAAGATAGGTGGATTAGGATGAGAAAAGAGTGAGTGGTATAGAAAGAATGATCTGATCACAAGATGTATGGCGGATTAATTGTTGAAGGGGGAAGAATGGAATGGACTGAGTTATGGAGAAAAGACGTATGGGAAGGTCATGGGTAAAATAGTGGTTAAATGATGGGAAAGATGGTTGTAAAGGGATGAAAGTCATAAGGTGGGGGGATGAAGTGGTATAGGTTTCGTAGTTGGGTAAGTAGAGTTCGATGAGAAATTTATATTGGTTAATACATACATACGGAATGTTACGATAATAAGGATAGCGTGTACAAGAAGTTGGGAAGGCGAACTGTGTTGCAACAGTAGGTTTAGGTAAGCAATTCTGAGGTACATAGCATAGAGTTTTCAGTTACACAGACATGATTATCTCATGAAAAATCTCGAATAATAAACGTTTATATGTTGTTAAGCACAAACTACACAATGGGCTATCTGTGCTGTGCCCATGATAGGTATCTAAAACCCGGTTTTAGCGCTGTAAGCCTTTAGATTTACCGCTGAAGAACCGCAAAGAGATGTAAAATCCATCAGAAATAAGTGAGACATTATACAGAAACCCAAGTGATTTAATACATTACTGATAAATTTTTTTTAAAGATATTCACAAAGTAAGCTCAAATTTTGATAATTAGCCATGGGCTCAGATGTACTGGACACATTTTTTTGCATCTCAGATAATATTATCTCAACCTGCGCTGGCATCAAACCTTTCGAGTGTTTAAATAGTTTCTTATCTGACGGAGTTTGTCCAACCGTAAGTCACTTGCGTGTTGATGCGAACCCATTAATCACAGTTGGATAATCCAATAAAACAGGAAACTGAAGAATTACCTGAAAAAACCCAGATAGTGCCTATCCTTATGCCTCTGATGAATTAAACACAACTCTTCAATCAAACCAGTTATATATATATATATATATATATATTTAATTTGTAGTCGCAAGTTTACATCAGTATAATATAATTCACGAGAAAGTGTTTGTTGATGTTAAAAAAAATTACCCAACATTTTCGCATCGCACGTGAACTAAAAATGTTACCACTTCATTATTCAAAAATCCGCTTGTCGGCGCAACGAAGCTGAATGAACATTTTATTCCTACCTATATATGTACATATAACGTGTATTTTGTGTACATACTTGTTGCTACGTATATGTGTAAGTATTTATATCTCTCTACCTCCGCATCTCTCTACTATATTCGTCAAAACTTTGGTATATGAGTTTCGAAGATTAACGATCTGTCTATTCGTCCTTCTCTGCTTCACTTATAAATAAAACATCCATCATTCCACTACACTGTCTCTATAGTAACCATTCATCTCAGGGCATTTTAATTAAATACAGAACACCATATTTTAATAATTCTTGTTCCTCAGTTATCCACAGTTATCTATCAGTCTTTGTCAGCCTTTAGCATATTAGTTTTTATTTTATCAAGTTATCTCTATTGATTTGTCTCTCATCTACGCCTTTTTCATTCGTATTTCCATATGTCTACCCTGCCATGTGTTATCTGTTTAATAAATTTTATGAGCGTACTTGGCTATCCATATTTATTTTATGCTCTCCAATTAAAAAGAAAAATTAATTTTTACTAGTGTTTACTTTATGTTTAAGTCTGCATTGAAGTTGTTGATGCAATTTTTTTTATACTTTGTTAACTCACTTTTTCTCATTATTTTGTCGCTTTACTAGTCATTCGGAACACAGGATAACATCTGGGTAATCTGTAATCACATATAGATTACTACATAGCTAGGATACACTATAGAGAGCGCTGTTGTTGTCCGACCTGCTAAAGGTAGTTTCTTGGAAATTCGCCGTCCTTTTCTTAATTAAGTAGGTTTCACTAGAGAACGCGCTGATGTTCAGTGTGTTAAGTTGGTTTATTGATACTTAAAACTATAGAGTACGTAAACACCCGGACAATCTAACAGAGTTCTTCCTTTTAAGCTGATGTTCAGTGTGTTAAGTTGGTTTATTGATACTTAAAACTATAGAGTACGTAAACACCTGGACAATCTAACAGAGTTCTTCCTTTTAAGCTGATGTTCAGTATGTTAAATTGGTTTATTGATACTTAAAACTATAGAGTACGTAAACACCCGGACAATCTAACAGAGTTCTTCCTTTTAAGCTGATGTTCAGTATGTTAAATTGGTTTATATATATTTAGCAAGTATTATAGAATACGCCACTGTTCACCATCTATGATCTATAAAGTACATAGATAATTATGCCAGAAAATAGAATACGTTCTGTTCTGCCTATTAAACTTGTGTAAAGTAATCAGTTAACACTAGAATGTTAGATCTTTTCAGTAAATGTTTATAGAATGCGATAATGTTTCATATCTTCAGCTGATTTATAGAATATAAGGAATTATTTAATAGTAATTGTGTGTTTGTAATTCAGTGTAATTAGTGTTTTAACAGTAATGTTATCTTATCGGTGCTATGGTCTAATTGTGGTTACTGTTATTGTTTATGTGGTCGGTGATTCAAGTTTAGTACATTATTATATCGTTGTTGTTGATTCGTTGTTCTAAATATTTGGTTGTTAATGGACAAAGTTTTTGATTTAAGTATACAAGCGCTTTATTATTGTTGTGATCTAATAGCGCTAATTGTTAAACCATATAATATATCTTAATTTAAATATCAAACATCTATATAATAGTCGAAGCCTTCACTTAAATCTCAAGTACCAACCCATTTACTATTGAGAGTCTTTACTTAAGTTTAATACGTAACAAACCTTAATAATTCCCATATGTGTTTAATTTTAATAATACGTAACAAACTATATGTGTTTAATTTTAATAATACGTAACAAACCTTAATAATTCCCATATGTGTTTAGTTTTAATGATACGTAATAAACCTTAATAATTCCTATATATGTTTTGTTTTAATGATACGTAACAAACTATATGTGTTTAATTTTAATAATGTGTAACAAACCCTAATAATTACCAGACTTTTGTAGCACGTGTTTAAAATTGCATCGTTTCCATTTCAGGGATCCACGAGAGAATAGAATATCTACCACAGTCCGGGCGACAGAAGATGTTTCCAAGTGCTAAGTTGGATCTCTGCGATATCCCTTGCGAACCAGCCAAGCTGTCCACCAAGATTTCTTTGACCACTGATCATATCGGAAAAGGTTGTGATCGTGACACATATTCTGTAGAATCCCAGCGCAAGTTATGTGGTGAGCCTGATTGTTTGAACATCCAGCAAATCTCGAGTGTTAGCAACAGTCTAGAAAAAAAAAACAAAAAAAAAAAAAAACAGTGACGATTACAACCTATAGGTGACCTCATAATTTTCTATTTATCACATTAAAACATGACCACTGCTATGCCAATCGTATATCAGCCAGCCTGATGAGGTGTGGTATTGAGCGAAAGACTTCGTCGGCACTTAATATGGCAGATATGGTGTGGTTGATAAATTATTATAATATTCTCCATTCCTTTTAGTCATGGTTTCTTACAATTTGCTCACTATATATATGGCCAGGTGGTTAGGGCGTTCCTCACTATATATATGGCCAGGTGGTTAGGGCGTTCCTCACTATATATGGCCAGGTGGTTAGGGCGTTTGACTCGCAAGCTGAGAGTCGCGGATTCCAATCCCTATACCACCAAACATGCTCGCCCTTTCAGCCGT